CACCATGACATCGGTCCAGGATATAGAGGAAGCTCTCATAGTTTATGTAACTACCTGAACAACCCTATAGATCTAGGGGAGAATGGTCATTTTTACAAAATAGACATAACATCATAGAACACTAGAACTGGAAGGGACCTTGAGAGACCATCAAGTCCAGTCTCCTGCCCTCAGAGCAGCACCAAGCACCGTCTAGATCAGGGCTACTCGGCCCGGGGCCCATTTGTTTGCGGCCTGCAGTGCGGTTTGGGTTTATGCTCAACACGCAGCCAACGGATGCGATCCTTTTGAACATGACCTCCACTGGGAACACGCTCCACAATGATGAGTCAATATAAAGGTCTTCTGTTTATATATGTTTTTGTAGTTAAATTCCTGGACTGTCATTGCTCATTAAAAGTGCTGTCTTATGGGTGGAAATCAGGTAAATATTGCATTTTATTAATATCAGCAGAACTGACTTAAATGGGGCCTGCGTGTTGTGTAGTCTTGCCTTAATCTTTGTATTCATGCTCATCAGTGTGAATCTATTTACATGTACATCCAACCACACTTAAGTTGCAGCCCTCAGCATGTTCTGCGAGTATCATTATGGCCCCTGGGGCTTCCAAAGTTGAGTAGCCCTGACCTAATAGTTTGGTGAGATAAAAGTTAATATAACAGTTACACGCAGGTCTGTGGGTGGGGTGGGGTGGGGAGAAAAGGAAGGAGGGACACAGAAGATAACTGCCCTGAGGACTGGTGGGTCAAAGGGGCCTGAGGCTCTGGCAGTATTGTTGGCCGGAGTCCTGGGCTCTTAAAATCATTGCTGCAGCCCCGCAGAACAGGTTCTAGGAGGCACTGAAGGGCCGGCGAGGGAAGGCTAGCCCCAACCCCTCCCCTTCTGCCCAAGATCCCACCCCTTCTAGGAATGCAGAGCAACCGCCTCTTCTCCCCCGCCTGGCCCAGAGATCCAGCAAGTCTGTTAGCCCTTGGAGGGGGCCCTGCCCCCGGGCGTGCAGCTATGGGGGGGCCCCGCCCCCGGGCGCGTGGATGGGGGGGCCGCCCCCGGTCCCCGCCCCCTGGCGCCCGGTGGGCAAACGGCCACGGCCCCTGGCGCCCGACAACCTAAAAAGGTTGGGGACCACTGGCATAGGCTATAAGTATCATTGTGGCTCTCAAATTTGAGTAGTCCTGATCTAGATCATCCCTGATAGATGTCTACTCAAACTGCTCTTTAATATCTCCAGAGATGGAGATTCCACAGCCTCCCTAGGCAACTTATTCTAGCATTTAACCACCCTGACAGGAAGCTTTTCCTAATGTCCAACCTAAACCTTCCTTGCTGCAATTTAAGCCCATTGCTTCTTATCCTATCATCAGAGGCCAAGGAGAATAATTTTTCCTCCTCCCCTTTGTAACACCCTTTTATATACTTGAAGGGTTGATACTTGACATGCTGTATACCTTGTCTATATTCTCATTGTCCTAAGAGAAACTTCCAAAAACAAGTAAAAAATGCCAGCACATGTCCAGTTCTAATGGCTCGTATAGGCATACTCTGAGGCCTGAATTGTTTGCTTTTTCTCACTAGGTGAATGTTCCAAGGCACTTACCATTCAAAATTGGGAGGATAAAGGATGTTGCATGTGGAGGGACAGGCAATGCTATTGTAAATGGTGAGTGCATTTTTGCTGCTACAGACTCCAGTTGCATGTAATAATGTGGGAGAGGACCCTGGCTGCTATACTATTGGTATGACTTTTACAGATGTCTGACATGATTGACATTCAGACGCTTTATAAGCTGTTATTTTAAGAAGAATTAAATGGGTTGTTTGTATTGAAATACTTAGCCCTAGAAGAAGTTCCTGAAGGTCAGGGCTGAGGCATGTTTGTACAGGGAATATGCACTGCTTTTGCCTTAGCTGTATTTATATGATTTAATTCTCCCACTCTGTCCATCTGGCAGCTTTCACAAGTACTGAACTTGACGAATTCTTTTTGAAGGCCCACTATTGTAGGTCTTAGTCGCAAATCTAAGAGGGTAGGAATGCTGAGATATTAAAGTGACTCTGTATGCTATACCTTGGGCACTGCAAGCCCATTATATCTGAGACAAACTGGAAACACTCAGTTTTCATAATGCAAAGGAAATATAATCCAAGGAAAATTGGCTTTAATACCAAAGTTAGAGAAAATTCAAATGCAGGAAGGAGCCAAATGGAAACACATTGTGTTTTGCCAACCCTAAAGAAAAAGAAAATAGCCATTTGGTCCTAATTAGCTTTCTGAGGCTGTATTAATTTCATAAGAGTGACTGTACTTACAGATTTTTTTTTATTGTAATGCAGAAGAAGGAAATGTTTTTGTCTGGGGATATGGAATTCTTGGGAAAGGACCAAACTTGATGGAAACAGCAACTCCAGAAATGATCCCACCCACACTCTTTGGTTTGTCAGACTTTAGTCCAGATACCCGGGTTTCTCGCATTCGCTGTGGACTCAGCCAGTTTGCTGCACTGAACAGTAAGTTTCAAGGCCATGGGTCAGTGGTGAAGTTTGAACCCCTTAAAAAAATCTTACTGAGAGGTTTGTTTCTAAAACAGGCTTCTTAAATATGAATCTCAAAAATACCATGCTGAAACAGTGCAAGGGCTTTTATGCTTTTGGTCAGACTGTGTCAATGACAGATGGCAACCTAGCCTCTATAGACATTGCTGTAATAAATTCTTAATCTGGGTTCAGTAAAACAGATCTGTCCTCCTTCCCTCTGCTTCCTGATGTGCAAACAGCCCAGATTTACTTCCATTCCAATACCACCATGCTGCACAGTGTGTTTTTGTAATCAAAAGGTTATAAGAGTTGCTAGAGTGCAAAAGAATTATCTTAAAACACAGTTAATTCTTTCACATTTTTAAAATTATTTTAAGGTGAGACCTTAAGTCTCAGTTTTTATTCCACAGAGAATGTGTGCAAGTTGAGCCAATTAACCTAGTGTCTGAAGCAGAAAAACTACAGCATCACAGTGCAAATACAGACATGACATTCTTAATTACCCTAATGCTGTTGCTGTCATAAACGAAGCTTGTATGTGAAGAAAATATTGTAGTTTGAAAATGAAAACCTGTTAAATCACAAAGGTCAGTATAAATGCCAGCAGAGGATAGCTACTACGGACCAAGAATAAAAGCTTACCTCAATGACAGCTCTACAGTGATGGGTAAAATATTTTGATATTAGGCTGAAATAAAATATTGGTTTGGAATTGCGCTGTATGCAAATAGGATAAATGTTTTCTAGCCCTTCCTGTCTCCTTCAAATGACACCCCAGACAAGGAGAACATACTGTATGGCTTTACGGAGTATGTCATTGTACCAGGATGGATAACATTTTTCAAGGCACCTAAGCCATGTCTGAAAATGGGACTCTGGAGCTTAAGTCCCCTTGAGTTTCAGTGAGACATAAGTGCTTGTCTACATAAAGTGAGATGGGGTGCTTTATACTGGTGTTTTTGGTCTCATACAGGAATAGCTATAAACCAGTAGAACTGTGTCTACCCATGGGATTCTTCCTCTAACTATTTCAGTTTAAAAAAATCACGCTCCTAATTGAAATAGCTAGGCCTTTTCTATCTAGAATTCTTTCACTGGTATATGTAATTTTGGAAATGGGGATTCAGGCTTCTAAGTCACCGTAGCTTGGCAAATTTTACCCAAGACCTCTCCAGGGCTGTGTCTAGACTGCAAGCCTCTTTCGAAAAAGAGCGTCTAGACTGCAAACAGTACTTTCGAAAAAGCAAGCCACTTTTTCGAAAGAAAGCAGCGAGTGAGTCTGGATGCTCTCTTTCTAAAAAGCCCTGTTGGCATTCAAGAACGCCTTTTTTCGAAAGAGCACTTTCGAAAAAAGGCGTTCTTCCTCGTGAAATGAGGTTTACCGCCGTCGAAAGAAAAGCCGCGTTCTTTCGATTTAATTTCGAAAGAACGCGGCTGCAGTCTAGACGCAGGTGATGTTTTTTTCGAAAAAAGGCTACTTTTTTTCGAAAAAACCCCTGAGTCTGGACACAGCCCAGATGTACTGGATACAGTTTTTTGCTCTACACGTATTGAAAGACACCGTTCCTAGGGTACAGATTTATCAGCTGGAGTGGTCTGGATTTCACTGTCTTTGCTTACCTCGCTCACTGTGGCTGTTGCTCTGATGCCTAAAGTTAAACATCTTGATGGTCACATCGCTGCTGTCTGTCCTCACAGCTCCTGTTTTGTTTCTAAGACCGTGTGTGCAGATGTTGAGCCTTTCTTTTGAAAATGAGGACCTGGAGCGTCCATTGACTTGAGCATTTGCTAGTGGACTCTGCCATGGTGTTCTTTCAAACAGAATCCTGCACTGGAGCTGTCAGTTGTGGGAGAAGAGAGTCAGACAGAAAACTTTATTTGCCTCTCTTCCCTAAGCTTCTCTGGACAATATTTCTTTATCAAGTGTTCTCTTAACTAACCTTACAGAACCTGGGTTTTTTTCTCGTCCTGGATTATCTTTGGCTATTGACTAGAAGGCTGTATCTTGATAAGCACAACATTTGCAACCTCCATCATAAAATTATTTTCTGCATAGGTAAAGACCCTTTTAAAGGCAATCTGACCTGGGCTTTTTGCTTATTGCAGACAGAGGAGAGCTGTTTGTGTGGGGCAAGAATATAAGAGGATGTTTGGGGATTGGAAGAATGGAAGACCAATATTTCCCATGGAGGGTAAGTACATGACATTCAAGCACAAATATGACAGAGTTAAACATGCTCTATCAAAAGGTACTACAAGTAGGATAAGTGCCTGGTTTTGGATCTTGGCTTTGAAAATAACATGAAAACTTCAAATGCACAGTGATCTTATCCATTCCTCCTTGAAGATTCTGACCAGAAGAGTCAGATCAGAGCTTTATTTTGTCTCCAGTATATGTTCTCACCTTTTATAGTTAGTCTATACAGTACCAGGGGAATGATGAGACTTGAGCTCTAGTTGAGTGGACTGTATACCAAAGAACTGAGTACCAAGTGTCAGAGTCAAGCCCTGTCCAACAGACACGGCGGACGAAGGTGAGATCAAATCTTGTTTAAATTAAAGAAAAAATCCCCACGCCTGTGTTTGCGGAGCATCAAGTTGGACAGTGGCCTGTGACGCTCGGGTTCCTGTGTAAAGCAACTTGTTAGGCTTCTATAGCAAAGCTTCCACAGGCACATGGCATAATTGTCTAACTTAATTGCCTGTGTCAGCCATCACGTTGCATGCACGTAGTTTTTGACATATAAAAAACAGAAAAGCAAGAGAAAGAAAAAACCTTTTAAAGCAGCAGGGATACTTTCCTGCAAAAGTGCAGTTAAGTGAGGAAAAGCGTTTGTAACTTTTGATCATTAAGGTTTGCTACACATTATTCTATAGCAGTGGTTCTCACACTTGTTGATCCACGGCTCACCCCGCTCAACACAAACCTTTCTGCAGAGCACATGCCAACCACCCAGGATGACAAAATGCATTTGCTATCTCTAAATTCCTTAAAATACTAAATTCATATTAGGCTGCTGGAACATAAAAAATGTAGCTATAACCTAAGGGGACACATTAAGGAAATATTCATCAGGATCATTAACTAGATTAAGTACTTTATTTAAAATGAAGTTGGGTAAACTAACTTGATAAAGTTAAAATTAAATATTAATTTATGACCATACAAAGGTTCCAACGTTGTCTTTTTTTTTTATGGCAGGGGTGAGGAAACTTTTTAGGGTCAGGGGCCACTGATCCACAGAAAAATCAGTCAGGGGTCACGCAAGTGAAAGCAGAAAACCAAAACCCCACACTGATGTGGCCCTGATTGAGACACCTCACTCTAATTGCGCTCCAGCCCCATGGAGTGTGGGGGGAAATGAAGGGAAGATTAACTCTTGTGGAGCCTCGGGGCTAGTAGATTTTATAGGCCCCCTAGTCTCTGGGATATGGCCAAAATAAGGGGTTCATTGTCTGGGAGACGACTGCCAGGGAGCAGGCTAGTGTAGAGTGTGGGGCATAGCGGGTCTGGGCAGGAGGAGTCTGGGCATGAGGGGGATGACAGGTGCTTACCTGGCTCTGCACACACTGCTGCTTCCAGGCACTGCCCCCAGCGGGGGGGAGGGAGAGTGGCAGTGGGGGGACATCCCCCCACCCCCATGATCTCATCCAGCCTGCAAAGCTCGGAGCTTCCCCTCTCCCACGCCAGTGGGAAGCTGGCACTGGCACTCCCAACTACGCATGGGTGGGGGGGCCGCAGGGCTGGGGCGCCAGTGCAGGCTCCCTGCTGCAAGGGAAAAGGGAAGCCCTGAGCCTGCGGCCCATTTGCAAGACAGTCGGTCCACGGACCACACTTCGAGAGCCACTGTTCTGTAGTATGTAATCCAGCCACTTGCCTCTGTGGCAAGCTGCAATCTGTACGCCAGCGTCTCCCCTCAGTGACCAGGTGGGGGAAGGACTCAGGCTCCCTAACTTTGGCAGCCAGGTTCTGCTCTTCCTCCAACATCTGCTGCCTACTTCCTTCTTGTCCTTCATATCAGGACCTCAGTCTGGAGCTCCCCTCGCCCTGCCCAGCACTGTTTGATTAAAGGTATGCTCCAGGCAGAGCCTGACTGCTCTGCAGCCCTTCTTATATGTCCCCTCCCTGCCCCCAATTGGCTGCCCTACCAAGCTGCCCCCCTATTTATTGAGGTTCTGCACAGCTTCTCTGAGGGCTGCTTAGCTTCTCGTCTTCCCAGTGTGGGGCTAGTTGACACTAGCTAAAATGTTAGCTACTGTCCCCCTGAATGCTCAATGACCCCCCCCACACCTAGCATAACAATAGAGCAATATTTGGCCATTAGCAGCTATTTCCTTTCTCACTGAGGACTCTGCATATTTGAAGCTCTAGTATTCAGCTGTTCTTAAAGTGAAAGACCTCAGTATAACTTGAATAACTAACCTGCTTATATTCACTGTTCAAAAAACCAGCCTTTAACCCTGACAAAATGTGAAGACTATTCCATATATGGAGGCATCTCCATGGCTTTAACTATTTATCTGTCCTCGGTGATGAGCTATGCCAACCTGTGTGGTGCTTAAACACGTCCTCTTCATGTGCTCTAGTCAGTGCCCCTTCCACACACAGTGCTGCTTTCAGGACAGATGGGCAGGGACCACAGTCCCCTGCATTTCCCAGCAAGCTGGTGGAACTGAAGCCTTGTTGGAGTTTGAGCTTTCAGCTCACTCCATAAATGCTTTGTGTTTCCATGGAAAAATACTAGTCTGCACTAACAGCTCATGTGTGAGCCTGACCTGTGCTTTACAGCACGATGATGAATTCTGTAGGGATTTCTGTTTCTTTTTTTGCCTGCAGTTGGAGCTGACATTTCTTCAGTCTAATCTCACAATTCCCTTCACTGAACCCTGTCACTCAGTTGTTTTATATCTTGAACTTGTAAGTAGCACACAGCGTGGCTGGGCTGGAGGCATGCACACATGGCCTAAGGAACCTGAAAGCAAACTTTTTTTTTCTGTTCCAGGTGACAATACCGGGTGAGGTAGTTGATGTGGCTTGTGGAGTTGATCATATGGTAACTCTGGTGAAATCATTTATCTAGCAGCCATGCTGTGCCTCAGCTGTTCTTTGAGAGCCCAGGGATTGGATGGGAAAGATGAACCCCGATCACTCTCAGTAAGGAGAAGTCTGAATGCAGTAATACGTCACTGAACAGGAGTGCACGCTGCGTGCGCACACACTGTGTGAAGAATCTCTGCTATGATTGGAACCTAACAGAGCCTCCAGCTATTTTGGGGAAGGAGCCTACCATTCCTCCCACAGCAATGTTGGAGATGAGCTTGTCTAACATTTTTAATTGGCTGCTGAGAAGAGTCCAGCCATCCTGGAGCCAAACCCACAGGCACAAATGCTCTAATGTGTAAGGATTAAGGGCAGAAGGAGAGCTGTTTTATGACCATTTCACTGTGTTTTCCTCCATGAGGAAATTGCCCTCCGTAGTATTATATGCACGCACTTGGACAGGCGGTAGAAATCTAAATGGGTATACATCACTGTTTTCGCTTTCAGTGTGTGATATTATAGCCAGCCATGCTTCCTAAAGGGAAGGTTATATTATGGGATGAAATAAATTCATGCTAAGCCAGCCTATTCTTCGGTGTCTGTTATCAGTCCTGCACCGTTGGACCCACGTTTGTGATTACACTGGAAACAGAGCTGTGCTATGCAGCATTTCACCTCCCTGTGAATGGATGAAGATGGAGCCCAGTCTTGCTCCATTGTACACAGAGGGTTCCATTCCTCCAAAGTGTTAGTGCTCCACCATTGGACTTAAAAAAGCAAATTCCTTCGGTTCTACCTGCAGATCGGTGTGAGCGTCCCCCTCGGTGTGATTTATATGCTGAGGAGTGGGAGGAAGGTGAATGTTAAATAAGCAGTGACCTTTAGGTATGACTAACAGTACAGCAGCTTAGGTATGTGCTACAGTTGTACTGCTGTAGTGCTGATGCTTCCTTGACTGACAGGAGGTTTTTCCATTGATGTAATTAATCTACCTTTGTGGTGGAAGAATTCTTCCATTGATCACACCAGGAAATGGCAGACAGCTAAATAGTGACAAGTTTTTAAAGGGTTTATATACAAATGCTAAATAGTAAGATGGGTGAACTGGAGTGTCAGTGAATGAAGATATTGATATAATAGGCATCACAGAAATGTGATGGAATGAAGATCAATGGGACACAGTATCCCCCTATTGGCTGGGTACACATCGCCTCAAGATGAGATACAGAGATAAAGTTTCTGGATGCCTTAAATGACTGCTTCTTGGAGCAGCTGGTTCTGGAATCCACAGGAGGAGCAATAGTTCTTGATTTAGTCCTCAGTGGAGTACAGGATCTGGCCCAAGAGGAGAATTTAGCAGGACAGTTTGGAAATAGTGGCCATAATATAATTTGACATCTTTGTGGTGGGAAAAACACCACAGCAGCCCAACTCTGTGGCATTTAAATTTCAGAAAGGGGAATTACACAAAAATGAGATTAGTTAAACAGAAATTCAAAGGTACAATGCCAAAAGTAAAATCCCTGCAAGCTGCATGGAAACTTTTCAAAGACACCATAATAGAGGCTCAAATGTATATCCCAAATTTAAAAAACAGAATAAGAGAACCAAAAAAGTGCCTGTGTGGTTTAACAACCAAGTGAAAGAAATGAGAGAGAAAAAGGCATCATTTAAAAAGTGGAAGTTAAATCCTGGGGAGGAAAATATACAGGAGTATAAACGCTGTCAAATGAAGTAATATAATAAGGAAGGGCAAAAAGGTATTTGAAGAACAGTTAGCCAAAATCTCAAAGTTCTTCTTTGCAAGATGTCCCTGTGGGTGCTTCACATCAGGTAGCGGCGCGCCCTCCTGCCATGGATCGGAGTCTGCAGAGCAGTGTCGCTGGAGCCGTGCAGGCACAGATCCCAAGCCACACACTCTGTTGGCATCGTGCATGTGCCAGCTCCTTTCTCTCCCCTTCCCCCCACCCATTCCTTCTCTGTCTTCTGCCAGAAACGGAGCTCTGCATGTTCCTGACCTTGTTCTGTTTAGTTAGATAAGTAACCATGTTTTCATCTCTGTCAGCTACTTAATAGTTCTCCTTCCCTGTTCTAAACAATAAAACCTTTTCTCCCCTCAGACGGGTTAGTTTTAGCATTCTGCCCGGTTCACTGGGATTTAAACGCTGCTCTTCAAGCAACAATTCCATTCCAGTGTCAGACACTCACGATGTGTCCGCTGCTTCGGGGAAGCACACGTCTCTCAAAAGTGCCCCCATTGCACACAATTGAAATCAAGAGCCAGTCATGACAGAGACCTAGGGCTCATACTTACATTACTGGAAAAGCCACTGTGCCCTGCTTCTGACCCAGGACAAGGCTCCACGACCGCTCAGGCACGTAGAGAGAAGCCTGCTGAAAAGCAAGCCTCCTCATTACCACAGAACCTGATGGCACCGAAAAAGCATTCACCAACATGGGTGTCGAGAACAGCCATGGCCTTGCCCCTCAGTACTTACGATGCACTGGATGTCTCCAGCACCACCACAGGGCCGGGTTTACAGAATACCCATGCGGAGGCCACAGGCTTTAAGTTGCCTGCCTCGCATATAAGGGCAGCATCGGGCACCAAGGATGCCGCCTCAACACCACGAGCACTTCCGGTGCTGATCACGATTCCCGTGATGGTCACTGGTGTGCTCGGTGCAGAGATTACAACTAGCACCACAAGTGGCTTTGGTACAGCCAAGCACGGCACCATCAGTACCTGCAGCACAGAGACTTGCTCATTTCTTTCACTCTGTATTCCAAAGTACTAGCTGTTGTCATTGCTTACTTAAGACAGCAAAACATTATTATATCCCTTAGTGGGATGATTGTCCCCTCGAAGTGGGAATGGTGTCTCCAGCCTCTGTTTGTCGGAGGCTGGGAATGGGGGGCAGGGGTAAGATCACTTGATGATTCCCTGTTCTGTTCATTATCAATTCTGTTGATTTTTATGAAGTTGATTTCATTTTTAGTTGAAGACCACCAGGCCTTCCTCTGCGCATAACTTTCACTAGCTCAGACTCCCTTACATTCAGAAGTGGTGGGTTACATTACACAAGCTGAGAGTCTCTCTCCATATCTTTAAACATCAAAGGAGGATGAGAACCACTAATTCCGGACGACTCCAATCCTTCTTGCCACCTTCAGTTGCTTAGGTATGTCTGCTAGCTTAAAAACTTTGCTCCCCAAAACATTCCCTTATGCAAATATGGCTCTTAACTTTTGAACTTCCAGAGGGCTATGCTGTGGAGGAACTGCTTGTTCCTGCTTTAGTGGTGTGTTTCCTGAACTCCAAATAACCCTTGCAGCACAGCAGCAGGAGTTTATTAATGAATGATACTGGAGATGCTAACTGTCACCATACCCAGAGCTGAACTCAATCATTTTCTGCCTCGTCTAGTATTTCTCTCATTTGATGTACTTCAGCAGATTCATTAAGTGAGGGTCTCCTATCAGGTTTCCAGTATCTATTAGCATTGAGCATTATTATTGTTTGTATTAGGATAGGACATAGGTTCTCCATTCATGCACAGGACTTCACTGCACTTGGTCCTGGACAACAGAACAAAAAGGTGAGCCTTGTCCCCCAAAGGAATTACAGATTAAGCTCTTCTCTTTTTGGGGAGCACTCAAAGTTACTCTAAATGCAATTTTAATGTAGATTAAACTTCACAAAACTGCTGCCTGGATGCTCTTATTCTGAATTAAAATACCTTTAATTCACTTCCAGAGTGAATTGGACCAGACCAAATTAAGCCCCCTGAAATTATGAATATACATCCACACAAGGGCTTAGTGTGCTCTAAGTCAGTGTTTCTAAACCAATGGTATGAATACTCTTAGGGGTACTCGAGAGAAGTCTGGGAGGTACATCAACACAACTGAAATTTGGAGGAAACTGAATTTGTGTTTGTACTTTTTACACCCAAAAATTTCTTTGCCCGCCTGCGTGTGATTAAGTTGTTATAACAAATGTGTTGCAATGGTAGAAACATTTTTTGCACATCTGAAAACTGTAGGTTCTGGGGGTACTTATAATTTTTTTAAAAAAAGGAGTACTTTCTCAACTTTTTTATAAACACTGTTCAAAGTAATCCACTTTCAATTCACACCTCTAGTTAATGTGGATTAATTTTGTTGTGTCCCCCTGTGTAGACAAGCTATTAGCATAAGACAGATAACAGCAGAACATAGATGGGGGAGCGCAAGGACACTGAGACAATAGACTCCTAAGGATAACTGTGCTCGTCCTTAATCCCTAACTCCTCTACACAGCTCCCTGAATGCTGCCTTTTCCCCAGGCTCCAACATGCAGCTCTACCCAGAACTGCCAATTTTGGTACCATCTGTGCTCTGCCTCTGCCCTCTTCCCCCAGGGGATGGGCGGAGTGGAATTGAGGTGCTAAACCCTTTTGGAAGTCTCACCATCTAGTGAGGCTCCTGTTTTTGGAAATCTCAGTCCTCATAGGATGCCAGTGGAGTCACAAATGTACCAGAACAGGGTGGATTTGGGAAGGGTTAGCTCAGGAGTGAGGGTATAAGCACATGGCCAAGGCCTGGGGGTAGCAAACGACACAGCCTTTGTACCTCTGGACATGCTAGAGCCCTAGACTACATTGGGCACGACATTGCCTGAATTCCTTCCAAGCTGTGCAGTGAGCACAGCAGTCCCTGCTGCAGATGGCTGTTCCTGTCTCTCTCCTACACACAATGTATCCCGTCAGGTAAACCCTCATACAACCATGCATCTATCCAGCCAGCTCTTACCCACCTCTAAGCTGCACTCTCCAGCTCCAAGTTTTATAGGGATGATGATTGCTCATTGGTTTTGATGCCACACGACCCTAAGATTCCACATCTGCTAGCATTCAGCATATTTGCTTTGGACATTGCCTCCAAAGCTGTCTGTTCAGGCAGTGGGGCTGAGCCAGGGTTGGTTGGCATTCCCAGCTGCAGCACCTTCAAAGGTCTGCTCTGCAATTGGTTAGCCAACAGTATCAGCCTCTCCGTTTTGTGGGTAAACAGCCCAGCAGCAAGGAAAAAATGGCTAATATTTCAGAAAGCCCCTCCACTAGGGATAACTCACCACATTCTGCTCCTTCAAAGACATCCAACCAAAAGTGGCCCAGCTGGCAAACGCGAAGAACAACAGATTCTGCCATCTCCAGCTGAAGTGCAAATCTGAGAACAAGACATTACTGGGAAAGGTTTGAATGGACAATAACCAGAACGCTATTAGTAGCAGCAACTGTAGACGATAGCTCATAGCCTATAGGTGAGCGTGGACCATTAATACTCTATTGTAACGTAATAGTACCTTGGATTACCAGTCATGGGCTAGGAATTGTGCACATGCAGAGCAAAATAGCACTCCCACAAGAGGAAGCTATAGACTGACAATGCGACTGTATGGAGTGGCATGATAGAGGGACTGTCAGCACCCAGTTGACAAAATGGGAAAAAACCTAACTCTAGAGCAGTGGTTCCCAAACTTTTCAGTATCATGCCCCCTTTTTGATTTTTGAGAAACCATCATACCCTTCTCCCCCCACTCTCCCCTC